AAAAAAAAAAAAAAAAAAACCCTAACCCTAACCCTAACCCTAACCCTAACCCTAAAAAAAACACCGTTGTAATGTTAATGTGACACTCGGTATTGTTGAATATTAACAATATCTGGTGTTAATTTAACAAAAAATAAGTGTTAACCTTTTAACACTTTGAAAAGTGTTACTTTAACACCAGCTGACTTGGACACATATAGACACTTTGTGGGTGTTAATTCACCACCGCCATTTTTACTGTGTAGGTGTTTTTCCTGTTAAATACACTAGGTAAGTAGGGGGGGTGCCGCCCATGTAAAGTTTGGGTGGAAACTTTTGTTAGATTAGATAGGCAGGGTTTTTCTTTTCTTTTGTTTCTTTAGCACAGAGGGTAGTTAGGCCCTGTTTTGTTTTATTATTTTCTTTGATTTGTGTGTTTTCGTCTTTTTTCGTCTCCCCACGTCAGGTTTGATTTTGTCACAGCCTAGTTTACTCCATGCCATAGTCTTATTTACTTTATTGCCATAGCCACGTTTTTGCCACAACCATGTTAACCTTGTTTGTACTTTTGCCATAGCCATGTTTTGCCACAGCCTTGCCACAGTTTTTTTAATGTTTATTTGTTACTTTGCCATAGCCTTGTTTACTTTATTTGATACTTTGTGTTCATAGTCATGTTTAATCTTGATTTGATGCTTCGTTCATAGTTTTGCCACAGCCTTGTTTTTGAGCCCATGTCCTGTCATCCACTCTCTTGAGTGTTTTTTGTTAAAATAAACCTTTTTTGTTGTATTATTTTCTTTGATTTGGCACCACCTAACCGCCCCTTTCTCCCCCCCTTCTGGGATTTTCGTTGTCAATAAATCTCTCCTTTTTTCAACATTCACCTGGACTCTGTCAAATTGTTGTGGCTGTTGTGTTACTCCCCTCCTCGCAAAAAAAGGGGGGTGGGGGGCCGTAACAGCCCCCATCAGAAATCTAATCCTACTTTCTTCCATAAAACACATTGGAAAACTTTAACAGAGGTTTCTTACGGGTTTCCGGTTGGCTCACCTGCTGATGGACATGGCCACGATAACCGGTGTCCAGCCGGACTGCAGCAGCTCTCTGATTGGAGGAGAGCGTTTGGCGATGGAGACCCAGACGGGGATGAGGAGCAGGAAGAAGACGCACGCCCCAAAGGGCAGGAGCCAGAAGTCTGCCGGGGAAAAGCTCAGTCACTTTATCCCAGCGTCACACAGCGGAGAAACTCCAACTGGACTGGGAATTATGAAGCGCATTGTCAAGTGGTTCTTGCTTTTTTTTGCTTGGGATTTCCCCCACTCGAAAGGGAAGCCACAGGATTTCACTCAGGCGTAAAACTTGATTCTTTCATTTCCATTTTTTATTTAAAG